ATTTGGCTGATAAGATTGCTTAGAGAATTAAAAGTTAAGACTGTGACATCTATAACACTATTTTGTAACAATAAAACTACTATAGGTTTTGCCAAAAATCTTGTTTATCATGATAGGACTAAGCACATAGAGCTAGATGGACATTTCATAAAGGAAAAGATACAAAATGGATCAGTCAAATTGGCGTATACCCCTACAAGTTCTCAAATTGCAGATATTATGACTAAAGCTCTTCCTAGAAACATTTTGACAGATTTAAATCCAAGCTGGGTATGATTAACATTCATAACCCAGCTTGAAAGAGAGTGTAAAAATCTTATTCTCCTACATTAGTACAAATCTTATTCTTCTACATTAGTGCAGCTTAATTTCCTAATTTATTTAGGGAATATTTCTCATTTATTCTTCTAATTTAGTTGATTATTTTGATTGTCAAGTGTTTAAGGATTTGTTTCTTCTTCCTTTTACTATTTTTTTTTATTTCATGAAAGTTGTTTCTTAATAAGGAACTTCACTATTCCTATTTATTTGATGTACTCCTTCATTCTAAAAAGAATAAAAATAAATAAAGACAATTGTTCTTAAGTTTTCAACTTGTTCAACTACTAATAATTAAAGTCAGGTTTTCATTTATGCCTCTACTAAATAAGTAATTATATATGATTATGTTTATATATATATATATATTGCATAAATTTATCCTTCATTGGTATCAGAGCCAAGTTGGTTCATGTTCTAGTTAATTTGTATGTTCTTCATAAGCGAAAACACAATATGCTTTTACATTCTTGCAAACATCCATAAAAGTTGACATAATTTTTGTGTTCTTAGTATAATTAAGGTTATTGTAATAATTTTTGGAATAAAAAAAAAAACTGAAATGCCATTGATATTTTATTATTTTTAGATCATTTTTTTTTAGATACGGCATCCGAATGCCTTAGGCAAAATTTTTTTAAAAAATTATTTTTTTTTAATAAAAAGCATGCATTCAAATGCCCTACATAGAACATTCAAATTTTTTTTTTGAAAATTTTTTAAAAAAATTATTTTTGTCATTGATTGACTTTAAGATGTCAGATTACACAAGAATGATTGAGATGAGTCTTAATTATTTTTTTACTTGTGTTGACTAATGATTTTATAATTTTTCTCATATTTTATTACAGAAAATCATGACTATTTTTTTAAAGACTCCTATTGTTATGAAGACATAAGTGTAATTTTTTAGAATCATAAGGCTAAAAGTGGAATTGATGTAATACCGAATGGATCCAAATGATGATATTAAAAGACATATCATCAAGGTTAATGGTATGATCCAAGAATTA